AAAAAGTCTGAGCAGTTGTATTTGTTTTTTCCCCCTAAAATTTTCCTATTTCATTTTGATAATTTCTTGTTCATTTGCTATGTTTGAGGTCTATTTTAATATTTCAAACATATATGACTATGTATTTATGTTTCTTTACTTGATAATTCCAACATATACATTCTAAGAGTTTCCTCATAATATTGGTTGTTCCTTCTCACTGTCACTTATAGTGGCTCATTTTCTTATATTTGGTGAATTAGATTGTTAGCTTGTAGTCTTTGAAACTTTTGAAGTCTGAGTTTAAATTCTCTTCCTCCAGAGAAAGTTTATATTCATTCTGCTAAAAGCATGATAGTCTTGTCACTATTGGCCTTTCTAAATTAATTTAAATTTCATATTATTGTACTTCACATATACAGAGTATAAATTCAGACCCTAAACATGAAGACTCTTTCCTTTTCCCTTCCTTCCTTCCTTCCTTCCTTCTTCCCTCTTTTCCTTCCCTTCCCTTCTCCTTTCTTCCTTCCTTTTCCCCCTCCTTCCCTCCCTCCCCCTTCCTCCCTCCATCCATTCCTTCCATCCTTCCTCTGTCCCTCTTTCCTTCTATCCCTCCCTCTCCTCTTCTTTGCCACACTCTTCTTCCTTCCTTTCTTCTCTCCTTATCTTCTTTCCTTCCATCCTACTTGTCTGTTTCTGTCTCCTTCTCTCTCTTCTCTTCTCAAACTGAGTTAAGGATGACACAGAATGCTTCTCTGAAAGTCAATGAATTCTCCTAGTGTCATGGATGGTGCCTTTTGAGGTATCAGATTTCTGAAAGGGCCTCTCATCTAACTTATTCTGTTGCAAAAACCTGGGTTTTTTCACCATTGTTCATAATGTTCCAGGGCTGTGCAGAGGTAACTTTGGTCTTCCTTGCTTATGTCTCTGATTCATGCTTTAATGTCACTTGTAAATTTCAAGCAATTGCCTTATTTTGCTGATATGCATTAATTAGAAATTCCTTTTTTATTCTCTTGTCTAATGGTTTAGTGAGTGTTAAAATGGTATTTTTTTTCTTTTTTTTTCTGTGAATCCAGTTCTCCATATGGCTGAAAAGATTCTTCCATGTTTTAAAAGAGATCTTTACCTGGCCTAGAGAATGCATATAATTCAGGAACAAACCAGTAAGTATTTACATGTGCAATTAAAAAATTTTTCACTGGAGTGGGACAAGACCAGGGTCAGAGGCCTATTGAGCTGGCATTGGGCTCAGCAGCAGAAGTTTCTGCCTGGCAAGCACAAGGTCCTGAATTTGATGCCTGATACCACTTAGCTTTTTTTTTAATTGCATGGTGACATCTTAAGATTTGAGATTTGGAAAAGTGAAGTGAGTGTTAAAAGCAAGAACAATTTTTTCCCAAACTGAGCTGATCATTTTACAAATTTCCTTCCTTAAATACAAAGGGACTTAATATTAAGTTTTCTAATATCCTCAAGTGAATGTGATTAACTCAGTCCTTTTTGAAGAAAATTTCTAAAAATTTATAGGTCTTGTTTGTTCTATTTCTCTTCCAGGAAAACTGTGATCACATACAGTCATGCAGAAATGCATTTATTGAAGGCAGACAGTAACATGCTAGTTGGCATTTTGAGCTGAAACAGGAAGCCTGGACATTACTTTTTTTTTGCTTATCTCATTGTTATAAATGAAGCTTCTAACAGTTAAGCCAAAGGTAAAAACCAATAAATATCCCATCTCTATCTATGGCCCATCTATGAATAGTATTGTCAAAAAAATGTAAACACTCAATCTGGCTCAAAATAATTTATAAGACAGAAAGCAGAGATTGCACTCTTAAAGAAATTAGTAGGGATTATATTTTCTTTTAGAGATGTTCCTCAAGAAATCTGACATAAGACCTGGCTGGAAGATAGTGTCTGTATGTATTCTATGTGTTTTTGAAGGACAGAAATGGCACACGTAATGCAGAACTGATTGTAACTAGGATCCTAGACATTGCTTCTGAAAAACCAAACTCTTGTCATAACCAAGAAGACCCTTAGGAAACTCCAAGAACAGAGTCTTTCCTCCATATTGT